AGTGCAGTTATGTAACAAAAAAAATCTACATTTGTAAGTTACACTTTCACAATAGAGATTGCACTACAGTACTTGTATGAGGTGAATTGAAAAATACTATTTCTTTTGTTTATCATTTTTACAGTGCAAATATTTGTCATAAAAACTAATATAAAGTGAGTACTGTACACTTCACATTCTGTGTTGTAATACAAATCAATATATTTGAAAATGTAGAAAAACATCCAAAAATATTTAATAAATTTCAATTGATATTCTATTGTTTAATAGTGCGATTAATCGCGATAAACTTTTTAAATCACAGTTAATTTTTGAGTTAAACACGTGAGTTAACTGCAATTAATTGACAGCCCTAGTTCATACTTATTATTTTATGATTTACTTTCTTCTTCCATTTAACAGTATTATAGGCTGGTGGAATCCAGTTCTGTTTGTTCCGATTTAAATAAATCCTCTGTTATAGTTTGTTGTTGTTTTTTGACAACCAGTTATATCATCTCGGCTACAATTAAATAATCTTTTATCATTGTGTAATTCCTCCCCCACCAGCTCTCATCTGCCGGATAAATTATAGCACCACTTGAAATCCAATTGACAAGTGCAATCACTCGAAGAAGAATGAGGCAATCTGTTTCCAAAGGGAGAAGCTGATGACTCTAAAAATTGCTTTGCAGAGGGAGGAGAAGTATAAATGTGATGCTCCAGGTTTGTTTAGACTAGGAAAGGTGATGGAGGCTAGGTCCGGTGATGAGGAAACATCATTTTACACTTAATGTATTGGGGTGCAGCGTGCGCTTGTCACAGATAACAGGTTCTTTTCCTAGGCTGCTCCGTCAAGTTAATTGAGAAGATGGAGTTTGGTGAAACACACACACAGAAACTTTATGTCATATAGACAACCATCACTGAAATCATAAGACAGGCTCAACATACATATGCTTCCCGACTTACGCAAGCATTCCATTCTGGAACGCCTCGCATAATTCGAATTTTGCATAAGTCGGAAACGTATCTCGGACCATTATGCAAAATAAATAAATAACTATTTCTAGGTTACGGAACTTTTTCCGTAAGCTCGGATTTGCGTACATTGGGTCTATGTAACTCGGGGAGCATCTGTATTGACCTTATTCTTATATTTCATTGTACATACAGTACTCACACTCTTGCAAGTAAAGAGACTATTAGCAACAGAGGTGGAGCCCACCAGAAGGGAGGTCCTGATTCCATTTACATGGTCTCAGGGACCCAACGAACTGAGAAAAATGGGAATTGGGTATGGCATTTTATACCCTTCCTTATGGTAAGTGTATGGCTTTATACCATATTGATCCTTTACCCTGGTTATAACGAAGTCCATAATTGCTTTATGTGGCCTTTGTGGGTGTCCAGAATTAAGTGTCAAGTATTAATATTCATGATTTGCATCACTTATTTCTTAATAACTCCTATTGATCAACGCGGTCTAACTGCTTAGCTGCTGCATAGCAACTGAGTTGCTAATGCCCCCTCCCCTCTTGCAGAATCCTGTGGGGTGCTATCCCTAGTTGCAATCACTCGTTTGCTTCCAAATATGAGCGTTCAAAATATCTGACCTGGGATTATCTCCTTCGGCCTACCCTATTTTGCTAAATCCCAACCTTTAGCATAACTACTCCCACAAAACCTTAAACTAATAGAATAGGCCCTTAACTGTAGCAAGCTTAATAACCCATTCACTTATGTTCACCTATTTGCCCTCCCCACCCCACAAGTGCCAAGCTAATGAGCGATGCACGCCTACCAATCTTACACTCCCATAATGTCATTTTACCCCTAGCAAGCATAAAATCACCCAAGAGACACAAAGCAGGTCATAGGTCATAAAATCAGGCCGGGGTCCTGCCAGCAAGAATAGTTGTGTTTTTTATGTCACAATAGTTAACTCCAGCTAGCTAATTCCAAGGAAGATTCTAGGGCAGAGGTACTCAAACTGTAGTCCGTGAGCTCCATTCAGGTGGTCCATGGATAATTCCCTCTCAGGTGCGCGCCTGAGCGGCCACACACAAAAGAATGAAGGGCCACCCACCTAATTAGTGGACAGGCGTGGCTCCACGAATTAGGTGCCTGGACCCTGGAGAAGACGCACATGTAAGAAGAGGTGGTGGCCTTGGGGAGAATAGGGGGGAGGTGGGAGGGGGGAAGTGCAGTGAGAAGAGGGGATGGGGGGAATTTGGGAGTGAAGGGCTGTGGCAGCAAGAGAAAGGCGACTTTCCCCAGCTTCAGGGCTGCGGCTGCTGGGGAGAGACAGCCCTCCTTCCCAGCTCCAGCTCGGGGGCTGCTGTGGCGGGGGACAGAGGGAGAGACTCCCCTCCCTCCCAGCTCCACTCGGGGACTGCCGCAGCGGGGGAGAAAGGGCACATCCATTGCATTAGAAAGATAAGACTACTGATACTAAAATATGAATTGTGTGCTTTTATTTGTAGAACAAAAAAACGTTAATTATTATTGTTTTTTTTATGTAGCACTTTTATCCAAAGCGCTTTCCAATAGTTAGCCAACGGTAAAAACATTTGGAAAGATCATTAAGTGGTCTGTTGAGCAATTTTCAAGTGGTCCGTGAAAAAAAAAGTTTGAGAACCACTGGCCTAGGGGACATGAGGCCCAGGTAGATTTAGCTAGTTGAGGTCACCCCTCTCTCTCCCACTGGGGGCTGATGGACACCTCTGGCAGATGGAACATACACACACTTCCAAGATTCAAAGGACAATGGAATTGATAGACAGGACCACAGGATTCACCCAGAAAAGGGCAAACTGCAAAAGCAGGCAACTTGCCTAGGGGAGCTGAGAGAACACAGTGAAGCAAAGGGGCCAAATAGCTTAAAGGTCAATATGTGGGAATTAACAAAAGTCTTAGAGGACAAAGGAAAAAAACGCTTTTGCCAGCCCTAGACAGGGTTTTCACAATGTTTATCTCCTTTGCAGATTCTCTGATGATAAACAAGGGCCGAGCTCTGATGGAACGTTTTCCCACACTCGGCGCATATATAGGGACCCTCGCCTGTATAGATCCTCTGATGTCTAATCAGGTTCGACCGCCGAGCGAAGGTTTTCCCGCACTGATAGCATTCGTAGGGTCTCTCTCCCGTATGGATTCGCTGGTGCATAATAAGGTTGGAGCTCCGAGTGAAGTTTTTCCCGCACTCCTGGCACTCGTAGGGCGTCTCTCCTGTGTGGGTTCTTCGATGCGTAACAAGGGCTGAGCTGTCGCTGAAGCTTTTCCTGCACTCGTAGCATTCGTAGGGTCGCTCCCCGGTGTGGATTCTCTGATGCGTAACAAGGTGTGAGTTCCAAACAAAGGTTTTCCCACACTCACCGCATTCGTAGGGTCTCTCCCCTGTGTGAATTCTCTGATGCTTAATAAGGCCAGAGCGGCAACTGAAGTTTTTCCCACACTCAGTGCATGTGTTGTTTCTCTCGCTTGTGGGGAGTCTCTGCTGGGCTATGGTTTCCTTGAGGTCGTTGTGAATTCCCTGACAATTAATGGATTTATTCACATTTTCCTCTGGCTGGTTTCCCTCCAGCCTCTCTGGCCTGCGCTGACTCTCACTGGCTTTTCCCTGCTCATGGCTTCTGAACGGGTTCCCTCTGGGTCTTTGCAATAATGCCACATGTGCTTCCACTTGCTCAGCATCTTCCTGCTGAGGATTCTGCTCCTTGTTCTCACTCACCATCCCAGCACCTGCTGGGATAGAGGGAGAAGCCTCAGAAACAGGGCTGGAAAAGGGCGAGCAAACCAAAATAAATACCAGAAAGACGGGGAAAATAAATCAGGGACTGAATTCCTCCATAGGGGAGAGTAGAGGGGGATCAATTCTCCCTTCACATCCCATCCAAACATTTGGGGGAAGGGAGATCAGGGACGGATCTATTGCCAGGTGTCAGTCAGGGTGGGCAGGAAGCTATGAGCGATAGCTGTCCTGAAGATATGACACCTGCTGAGGACAATTCTGAACCCAGAGAATGCAGTGTCTGTGTAGGGAATCCCAGCTGTTTCCTTCAGGCACTGACTGTGTTGGTTTAATGATTCCTCACCTGCGCAGGCACCTCTCGGGATCTCTCTTTCCTCTAAACCCTGGAGATGCAGGACCCATGGCTCCTCCCCTCGTTCCAGCTGGGAGATCAGGTCCGGTTTGGAAACTGAAAACCCTGCTGAGGGGAAAGAAAACAAGGCAGACCAGGTGAATTCATAGGCCATTTGTTATAAAAAACATTCTATTACTTTAACCCCAGCCCATTTTAAAGCAGTACAATCCCACAGCCAGCTCCCTAGGTACTCAAAAGTGCAGGACAATCTGCATATGAGGCATTTAACGATCCCCATCTCTGCTGGGAACACACACAGCCAGACACTCCTCAGCAAAGGAGCTCCTAAAACACAGAGACAGAAACTCCATGTCCCAGAAAGTAAAGACTCCAGCCAGAGGGGAAGTGACCGTGGGCCTGCTTCTAATGACAGAGAGAAACAAAGATAATGAGAGTGATAGGGAAGCAGGAGTGACGGAAGGTCCCTAAAAGTGAGGTGGCCACAGACGCTTGAACCGTGGCACCACCCCTTCTCCCCGAGGCCCCGCCCTCGCGCCATCCCTTCTCCCTGCCCGCCGCCCTGCCTCTTCCCCGAGGCCCTGTCGCTGCGCCGCGTCTTCCCCCAAGGCCCCGCCCTTGCACCGCCTCTTCCCCCCAAAACCCCACTCCCTCCTCTCCGCCCTCTCCCTTCCCCCACTTTGTGGCTAGTACAAAGTTTGTTAAAGTGATGGTGCCACGGCCTCTCCCTGTTCCATTTGAGGAATTAAGGAATATAGCAAGTCAGGTGTAACAGGAGAGGATATGAAAATCCCCCAGGGTGTGGAGACAGCTGGGGAATTAGATGCTCTATTCCAGGAGTAACAGACTACATTTCTCTAGAAAAGGAGAACATGAAAAAATCAGGATCAGGCCACGTGAGTTCAGCAGGGATGGACGGACTCCAAGACCCGAGAAGCCAGCGTGGAAGTGAGACTGTGGCTGCTTCAGGCAGGGGAGAGGGAAGTGAGGCCCTCCAAGCCCCCAGAAGTTTCACTGCCAACTGATCTGATGACATCATCAAGAAAGCTCCCATCTGTGGCAGGGAAGGGGTCACACTGTGGCTGGGAGGAATATATGGATTCAGGGGGAGTGGCTGGGGTCCCAGCGGGGAGGGAAGAGATGGGGAGGGGCACGGTTAGGCATTATGCAATGGAGAAGAGAGGAGGGGTCTAAATTAGCTGTTACCACTGAAGAAAGAGATTTGGAGTCATTGTGGATAGTTCTGTGAAAACATCCACTCAATGTGTAGTGGCATCAAAAAAGCGAACAGAATGTTTGGCATCATTAAGAAAGGGATAGATAAGACAGAAAATATCATATTGCCTCTGTATAAATCCATGGTACTCCCACATCTTGAATACTGTGTGACGGTGTGGTCGCCCCATCTCAAAAAAGATATATTGGAATTGGAAAAGGTACAGAAAAGGGCAATAAAAATGATGAGGGATATGGAATGGCTTCGATATAAGGAAAGATTAATGACACTGTTACTTTTTCAGCTTGGAAAAGAGTTGACTAAGGGGAGATATGCTAGAGGTCTATAAAATCATGACTGGTATAGAGAAAGTAGATAAGGAAGTGTTATTTACTACTCATAACACAAGACCTAGGGGTCACCAAATGAAATTAATAGGCAGCAGGTTTAAAACAAACAAAAGGACGTATTTCTTCACACAACACACAGTCAACCTGTGGAACTCTTTGCCAGAGGATGTTGTGAAGGCCACGACTATAACAGGGTTCAAAAAAGAACTAAATAAGTTAATGGAGGCTAGCCATTGTTGGGCAGGGACGGTGTCCTTAGCCTCTGTTTGCCAGAGGCTGGGAGTGGGCAGCAGGGGATGGATCACTTGGTGATTGCCTGTTCTGTTCATTCCCTCTGAGGCACCTGGCATTGGCCACTGTGGAAGACAGGATACCGGGCTAGGTGGACCTTTGGGCTGACCCAGTATAGCCGTTCTTATAAGTGAAAATAATATTTGTAAAAAGTACATAAAATAAAGGGAAACTGGACTAGAAACAGGAAGGCTAGGAGAACGGTTGAAGACGAGCCACTCCTTGGTAAACACAACACTCAAACTATTTGCTTTGAATATTCTCCCTCCTTGTTCCAACCAATTTACAGAACTGGGTAAGATGAGCAGGACCTGGGACCCAAAAGATCAAAGGTCTGGAACAGTTTAAAAAGAGACCCCCTCACAACAGAGGGATGGCTAATCGGGTAATCATGTGGGGCAGTGGCTTTCAACCTTTCCAGTT